GAAGTAAATCTACTGATTTAAAAAAGAAAATTATTATTCATACACTTTTTTAGTCAAAAAATCAATCACATGACTATATAATTTTAGCTAGATTTCAGCTAATGGTAAGTATAACTAATAATACGAATAACAGTCTATCTTTAAAAAAGATTAAAATATGAAGTAAATGAGTATTATATACATAATTTACACATATGAGGCAATCAATAAATAAGTTAATTTCTTAATGCAAGTCGAAACTGATTGTAAAATTTGTGAAATATTATAAATATGATTGCTTATTTATATAAGATATGTATAGGAATATAAAAGTTCTTTTCTTATTTAACTTTTTCTTTTATTATCTAATCTTTAAAATAGGACAGATTTCTTTGAATATTAAAGAAGGTGCTAAAGTTTCTGTTTTAGGCTCTGTTATAGGTAAAAATATCGCTCAACCACTTTTGGAAGAATTATGAAAAACTAAATAACTTTAGCAACAGTTCTACAAGTAGCACGAGATAATAATTACTGGGTAATTTGCCCTAATTCGCAATCAAAATGAAAATGAAATCTTAGCAGGCTGTATGAAGTTCATAGTTTTTCCCAAAACTAGTTCAGATACTAATCAAGATACGAGTAACGAAGAGAGAACAAGTGGTAGTAAAACAGATATTTCAAGTAATACTGATGATAGTAAGGATAGAGAAGCCATAAATGTTCATAATGTTAATAACATCCGATGGATCAATAAAATTGTTATGATTGATTCTTACCTCCTATTCTAATACATCAGTTGTACATATTGCTGATATTTTTAAAGCAACATCCAGACAATTTTTTGAGTGGTTTATATCTGTTGATTTTATAATATTAGTAGTAATTCCATTTACAAATAAATGTGCGCGTAAATATGAACGTGGGTGGAGTAATTAATATAGACAGAATTTATGAGGTTTATTAGCATTTTAACGATTATGATATATGTAAAATATGCTAATATTCGTGATTATTAATCTATTAAACAAGAAATGGCTGGAGTTTCACTGGCATTTGATCAATACATAACACATTAACAATTTCAAAATATCATAAAATATTTGACATTAACAGATGTATCAGCAAATGATGATTTCTTTTATTTTGTATAGCAGTTTCATGATGAATTTAATGAAAATCTTATAAAAGCTATCCTATCTGGTCCTTACCTTTGCATGGATGAATCAATGTGTTAATAAATAGGCAAAGTTGATAAAGGTCCATTTCAACGAAAAATACCCAGAAAGCCACATCCAATTGGATGTGAATTTAAAACTCTTGCAAATACTCAAATCAATTTATTTTTAAGATTAGATCCAGTAGAACCTTCAGAATGTGCTATAAAAAAAAATTTTTAAATCAATACCTAGCAACTATTGCATCTATTTTAAGATTAGTAGAATCATAGTTTCGTAGTAGTAGAACAATTATCACCAATTTATGGTTTGGTAGCATAGATGCATGCATTACTTTATATAACCATGGTCTTTATTTTATCTTACAGATAAAGAAGCGTTGTTATTAGCCTAAGAATATTCTAATGATATTACAGATATACTTGAAGATATATATAGATCATCTATTAGTTGAGTTTGCAAAATGAATGATATTGATTTAACTGTATATTTAATTCATGATCGCAAAGATATCGTACTTCTTGCCAGTTGTTCTACAACAATTCTTGAAACAGAAGTGAATTGATATATTAAGGGTTATAGTAGTACAATATGCTGTCAACCTGTTATATTTAATGAGTATAATGAATTTAGATTAGCTGTAGACATACTTAATAATTTGCGTGATAATTCACTTTCTTATCATGACATTCTTGGATCAAAATGCTTTGCAGATCGTATTTTTGCCTTCTATATTACAGTTGTAGAGGTAAATAGCTTCTCTGTATATTGTTGTATATTGTAGATTTGTTCTGAGAAAGAGAAATATAAAACACGTCAATTTTCGCAAGCAATTAGCAACATTGATCTTTGATTGTTATTCATACAATACAATTGCTGATCAGACTAAAAAAAAATGAAAACTAGATTCAGATAATTTTGAACATCATCTTATCAACCTTAGTAGTAATCTGGCAACCTCAAAACCCAGAGGTAAATATATTCAATGCTGATGTATAAATTGTCATAAATGTACAATTACCCATTGTAGTTATATAGTTTCACAAGGAATGTGTACAGATTGTTGGATCCAGCATATCTACAGACCCCCGCCAAAAGTCTCTGAACGCCATCTTTCAGGGGCTATTTCATACCGATTACGTCATGTGACTGCATAATACTTCGTCATGTGATGTTCGGATCTTTGTTTACTTGAATCAAACCAAATAAATGCGTGTTTGGTTTGTTTATTTTGATTTTTAATCAAAATAAACTTTGT